ATATGATTACAGATTATGCATAATTATTTATGGCTTATCTATGATTACAGATTATGTATGATTACTAAAAGTTGGGTTTGTATGTACATATAATAACTCACAGGTTCATTAGTTCCGTGCCAAAACATAGCCAATAGAAAAACAGCTGCTATTGGAGGAGTTAAGTAACCTGAAACTTCTTGAATGTAATGCCATAATTGACCACCTTGACTATTAGCAACCACAGGTAACCAGAGGATACTAACAGCAACCAGCACTAAGACAAATAATCTGAAGAATAAACAATAAAAAGCAATGACAGAAAAATTTGATTTTAGAAAAATGGCTGTAATCCCAAAATCACACACCCTATCGTACATTGTATTACCTACTTGTGTTTTACCTCAATAAGGTGATATATTAGTGAGGAAACAACATAAACATGAATGAAGACAAAATGGCCGCCAATGGCATTTTTGTTTGAATTCCCCCAAAAAGTAACTTGTACCTTTAACCATGACATGTACGATGCCCATCCAAAGTATGAATGAAATCATCGTGTTCATCTCAGAGTAATTGTTCCAGACTTGTTTCTAATTATCAGAATTTAGGAAATTTGAGGTACAAAATAGCCACCCGTCAGCCATATTTGAGCAAATGGTAGCAAGGATCCATGTGCATATGTAAGACAACACATATATTTTGTGTTATATCGAAGAGGTCATCACCTGTATATGTGCGAGAATTGATGGCTCATGGGTAGATACTTGTTTTTAAACAACTGCATGCTATTGTCGTCTGCACAGGTGACGACTCTCTCGGTTTAAGTTTGAATGCAATCAGTCACAGCACACCAGAGAAATAGCTCTCTAGGCACACATTGATGCATGGAACGCAAATTAATAGGCTATGATATCCGATTTTGACCAAGATGGCGACTAACACATCATTGTCAATGACATAGTTCTCGTTTAGTTTTTAGTGACGATAGTCATTATAAGGAATCAAAGATGCAGATGAATTATAATAAAATTTTGGGGAAAGTATTCAAATAAAAAACGATGGCCCGGCATGACTGAGAAATCGTTGATGACTTTTTCAAATGTTGATTTTTTTTTTTTTTTTATCAGGCAAAAAAGACCACCAGTTGGTCAAATATCAACAAATGAAAATCATCTGCATCCAACAAAATCAGTCGAAGAATCGATGGATGGATTCGGACAAAAGGTACCCAAAATATAAGTTCTCGTTTCAGAATTTTCTGACGAGGACTAGCAAATTAATAATTTCACAGTTGTTGATTGTGCAGCACATGTTGAAATTTTGCGTAAACAGAAATTTAAAATACATTATACATGCATTGTATGTCACATGGGACCCATACAAAAAATGTTGCGATGTGAAGACTGTGCTTTAATGGCTGACCAATCATACCGGTAGATGTTTGCAAATCCAGCCACTAGAGGGAGCTATACAACATGATCAGTTATAAGGTGCCTTCACAGGAGCAACACAGACATTATTTGATGCATTACTGAAAAAGAATCAGTAGTTCAATTATTTTTCGCCTGACAAGCATCGTTTTTTTTAATATATGAGAATATAGTTTGTAAAAAAAAAAATAACGCTTTTCCTCATCACGCATGACAAAACTGAGTATAAAAGTCCTTATTCTTTAGCAGTAATATAACTAAACATTTTGCAGGAAAAATACTGGCTAAAATTTAGGTGTGATCAATTTTGACAAAAAAAGGACGAGAACAATGATAATTTCAAAATACGTAATATTTATATCTAAAAATAAACTATATGTAGTGTTATTAAATTTTAGCCAAATTGTACCCCTATATTTTGATAATGCACTCACTAGTTCCACCAAAATTGAACTTGGTTGATATTTTCTAGGGATTGATAGAATTCTCAAATTTGAAAATGATCAGATAAAAATTGGTTGGGGTTATTGTAAGAAGAAGTTAATTAAGTGAACTTGAACATTATATGTACAAGGCAAAACCAAAATTGGCCAGGATTCAAAACTGGTTAATATCTAAGTTGGATAAAACTGTTAGACTTATTATAATCACAAGAAAAAGTTTTACAACAGAGTCAGCAACAATGACAGACATTCCCTCATACATGTATACCCTACCTTTTATCTACAATAAGGGACGACGTCAAAAGATCGATGTCGGATAAAAAACTTATTTCCTTTAGTTTGGGGGTGGGGGGTTTTGACCTCAAAAAGTGTCCATCCTACAAAAACGATTTTATTTTTTAATGAAGTCAAAACAATCTTGGAGTATTTGTAGTTCGTTTTTTTTCTATCCAATCATGGACAGAAATAACCGAAAAAGAAAAAAACACAGAAAAAATGGTTTGGTTCGAGTGTAAATGAGTGCGTCAAATGAGGTGCATTTGTAAAATCTTTTTACACCCACCCGACAACCAACTGCTATGCAATACTACTGTCTGATTATCAATTTGTATTTAATGGTGTATGTAGTCTGACGCCATGACCAATATTTATCAATTAAGTTTCAGTGGGGGTAGGGGGGTTTGGAAAAAAACTAAAGGAATTAAGTTTTTTATCCGACATGGATCTTTTGACGTTGTTCCTAAGAACAAGGTAAATCAAAGAAAGCTTAGAAAGAACTCCCGTGTGCTGAGAGTATTGAAGACACATTAAAAATTAATTCAAAATTACTTGTACATGAGATATTGATGGAAACGCTGAAAACTAATTATGTAAATCAGGTAACTAATACGAACAGAACAGAACAAAAAAATTATGAATTATTATGCTAATTAGAGAATTAATATGAACAAATTTTAACCCAAAATTAATCAGGCCTGTATATTGTCCTAGAGCATTTATGTACCAAATTTTATTCAAATGTGATGATCAGTAATTGAGATATCAGTGTTAATTAATTATGTTAATTAGGTGTTTAATAAGCATAAATATTTACCTAAAACTAAT